AACGTAACAATTAGCCAAATACTAAAAGTGTGCTAAACTTTTTCCCTACTTCATGTTACAGTGTTTAGTATTTTGACTATAACATTGTCATTACTCAATGAAAATCAAAAAGTTTCTTTTACCAAAATGATCAGCGAAAAAAGCTCTACAAAATTAGATATAAGAGAAAATTTTTAGAACATCCTTATTATCCGTTTATGTGTAAAAATAAAAAAATGCATGCTGTTTTGGGCCCTCACTGTATCTTCAGCCATTACCAATCGACGAGAGCGAGGCCGACCGCAAAATTATTTGCTTATTTGGATCGATGGCAATATTGATCTAAAAAATAATGATTGTCAAAATACGCTCGCGCTATTGCGCAGCGTCGCTAACGATGTCAACGTGTTTCTCGAACCGAATGAATGTGCTGACTTCCTCACTGAAGTCGATGACGTAACGGCATTTCTCATTGTAGCAAGTACTATAAGCCAACAAATGGTGCTCCTTATCCATGATATCGCTGTTCTTTACAGTATTTACATCATTTGCGACAATGAAGCCGAACAAAAGGAATGGATGAAAGAATGGTCTAAAATTGAAGATGTATTCACCACAATCATTTAAATTTGTGAATCACTGAAAAAAATCGCCCGTCAGTGCGACTACGATACAATTCCAATGAGTTTCGTTTCAAAGCGAACGATGGCAGCAGCATCAGGTGAAAAAATCTTGATCAATTGGAACCATCTTTCATGTATTCCCAGTTGTTCAAAGAAATTGTATTGGAAATCGATGAAGATGATGCAAAACCATTGAACGATCTGATATCTATGCCCGTAGAAAAAATATTCCTTAGCATGAACTGAAGTGATTGAAATGTAGATACCATCATAGAAGTCCAATATGGTAGTATTCATATGATTTTTTCCTGTACGCCATGCTCAATCGCGCTCTACGATCACTCGACACGGAGACGATGATAAAAATGGGCTTCTTCATCCGAAGTCTCCATCGACAGTTGGAGCAGCTGCACCATGAACAATCTGGTACATCTAACAAAGTGTTTATTGTTTATCGTGATGAGAGCCTCAGCGGTGAGAACTTCCAGCATCTACTTAACACGAAAGACGGTCTTCTTGCGTTCAATACTTTTTTATCGACTAGTATAGTAGGTATTGTTGGTCCAGTAGGTTCTGGTAAATCGTCTTTACTTGTTGCTATTCTTGGTGAAATGAATATTATCAATGGTAAACTTAACACAAATGGTAGTACATTTGCTTATACTTCTCAATCATCATGGATATTTGCTGATACACTTCGCAATAACATTCTTCTCAATCAAACATTTGATCAACAACGTTATCGAGATATAATATATGCATGTTGTCTTGATGTTGATCTTGGTTTACTTGGATCTAGTGGTGATTTAACAATAATTGGAGAAAGAGGTGTGAATATAAGTGGTGGACAAAAAGCTCGAGTATCATAAGCACGTGCTTTATATGCTGATGCTGATATTTATTTAATCGATGATCCATTAGCTGCTGTTGATCGCACTGTTGCTAAACAAATCTATGAACGATGTATTGGTCTAAATGGATTACTAAGAAATAAAACTCGTCTATTAGTTACTCATCAAATACAATTTCTCAATGAAGCACATCAAATAATCTTTCTTTCACATGGTCGTATTGATGTTCAAGGTCATTTAAATGAAAATAACTGGTGGCGCAGAAGAAATTGCAGGCTTTTGATGGACTGTTTTTTAAAGTTAGACTGTATGAAAAAATTTCGTTCTGATGTCAAAAGATAGAGAATTTTGTGTAGATTTTATTGATATGTTCTTTGCAAAATTAGCATTTGTTCTTCTCTTGTAATATTAAAGGTACTGGATTCTACAAAAACATCATTTGCTCAGCTACAAAATGAGACACTTTTAAACTCAAATTTTTATACTGTTAATTATGGTTCAAAAATTTCTTCTTCTTGCTAAGCGATGCAGAATTTTTCGATGTATCTAGTGGTGGTTTGATTTTTTTGAAGCTTAATTGTTTCTGCTTCAAAAAACACAAAACATCAAGAAAATATCATCGGCCAAAGAAATCGCACTTTTTGTTACCAATTTTCTCAAAACTTCGTTTTACAAGAACTACTCTTTTTATATCAACAGATGCAGAATTTCAAGCTCTATAAAATGCTTTTCATCATGAAAGCTGAATTTCTTTTGTAAACTAATGATGAGACTAAGATTTTCTGCCTGACACAAAAAAGCATTAAAAATGAACAATTAGACATTTTTTGCAAGCAGTTTTTCGAATGAAGAAATTTCATCCGCAGATTTGGTATTGGGTCTCAAAAACAGATACGTCTCTGTATTTTATAATACTGCATTTGCATAGTGTATGGAAAGCGATTTAACAAAGAAAACAAACACTTTATTCCCGTAAAATACTGAGCAAACTCTGTTTTTGGTGGTATCCAGTACGTTTAATACTACAAGAGAAGGACAAATGCTAATTTTGCAAAGAACATATCAATAAAATCTAAACAAAATTCTCTATCTTTTGACATTAGAACGAAATTTTCTCATACAGTCTAACTTTAAAAAACAGTCTATCAAAAGCCGGCAATTTCTTCTGCGACACCCGTTATTATTAAAAAAAAATGATATCGACAAAAATGAAACATCAATATCAAACTAATATATTAGATAATAAAATATCGATGTTGGAGATTCAACCGATTATTACTGAAGAAATATCAGCTTCTAATTGTGGCAGTTGGTTTGTTTTGTTTCGCCTGCTTACTGCGCCACCTTCTGGCAAATTTGGTTTCTGTCTCCTTATTATTCTACTTTTATTGAGTAAAATATTTAATGATGTTACAAATTATTGCTTTAGTATATGGTTGAAAGAATCTCACATAGATCGGCAATATTTATCGAGCCTTCCTTATATCTATTTTGCTTTCATAATAATAACAGTATTACTCTATTTGTTGTGTATGCAGTATTTTTTCCATATAGTCTTACATGGAACAGGGTGTGAGTGAGTGTGGGTGGGTGTGGGTGG